AGCTTCTGCACACAACCACAGGCTCCCAGCGCCAATCGCGGCCCCACCTCCCAGCTGGGAGTGCAGAAGCGTTGTGGCGCCGTAGTCCAGGAGAGACGCCCGCAGGTGCTTTGTGGTTGCATTTAGGCGCCTTCCATGGGCTCTCAGCCAAAACTGACTGGGGTGGAATTTCTGCTTCTTCCCACTGGGACACCCAAAGACCTGGCCATGGGGGAGTCACCTTCCTACCCATGGTTTCCCCCTCTTCCCCCCGCCCTGCCATTGTGTTGCCCCAGGGTCTGCCTCTCTCTGCTTTGGGTAGCAGGTGGCTGTTTCCCAGCTTGGTGGCTCTTGGTAGTAGCCACACAGGATGTGTGTTTAGTGTGGGTCGGGGGGGTTTCCCGACAAATTTTTAGCCCGTGTGTTCAGTATTTTTTGGGAGACCATCTGGCAACCTTAAACCTGTCCTGTGAGTGAGCCAAACCGGAGGGAGGGGGTGGGCCGGGTTTCTCTGCTGCTGACTCAAATCCAAGCACCATGTGGTTCTGATTTTCAAGGCGGGTCCTTTTCCCAGGATGTTGGGACCGGATTGTTTTCCGTGTCGGTCTCGTGCTGCGTGTCCCTGCAGGCGTGGGGTGGCTGATTTCCTGCTGGTCTCTCCACAGTCCCTCGGATCAATGGGCACCCCAAGCAGGACAGGCACCGCGAGCACCCGCCTGGATACGACAGCTCTTCCACCATCATGAGCAGCGAGCTGGAGTCCAGCAGCTTCATTGACTCCGACGATGACGACCACACAAGCAGGTAGGGAGCTGGGCTAGAGTGATGGCGAATGGCGTCAGGCCAGATCGCGACCTTCCCCGGGCACTGAGCTAAACGAGCTGTGACACAGACCAGCCCCATCGCCATTTGCAGCTCGCGGTGGGGGAGGGGAGCAAAGCAGACTCCGTGGGGCAGCTTCTACGCAGGGGGGTGGCAGGCAGGATCGGGGAGCAGAGAGCGACTGGACTCCACTCGTGGGTGCTGCCAGGCCATGCAGCCGAATGGCACAGAGGAAAAACCTGGTCTGCAAGGGGATACAGAGCACATCCACCTCCTGGAGCAAGGAGAGGGACTCACAGACCAGCCTGACCAGGCCTGGGATGGGGGTGAGGACAGAGAGGGGGCAATTCCAGAGCTTGGAGCTCCCAGCTAGATCCCTGGGTGGTCTAAACCTCAGCCCCGCCTCTTCTGCCTGAGGCCCCGCCCCTTCTGGGCGCATAGAGCAGATTCCCCTCCTGCCCTGCCCTGTGGCCTGTCAAGGCTATCCGCCCCACTGACTGTGACTGAATCACAATCTGGTTCCCAGTTTGCTCCTGGAGAGACCTGCCTACGCTCTATCCTGTGCTCTGGGCCAGGGGTGGCGACCCACAGAAAAATCAGTGGGGACTGCACACAAGTGAAAAGCATAAAAAAACCCTCTCGCTGACATAGCCCCCAAGTGAGAAGGAAAAAGACACTCCCCGTTCCTCTGCCACGCCAGAGCCTAGGAGGGCCAGGTTAGTAGATGTTCTGTGCTCCAGGCCCGCAATGGGGCAGTGGTGGGGCTGGAGCGCCAGAGCAGGCTCTCCAGTGCTGGGAAGGGGAACCCTGAGCCTCAGCAGCTGGACCCAGGCAAGCCGGAGGCCACATCTGGCTCCCGGGCCTGAGGTTCCCCACCCCTGCTCTCGGCTCATGGCAAAGCCCTTGTTGTGCAATGTACGTTTACCAGCCTCTTTACCTGGAGTGAGACTCATTCCCTCCCCCTCTCTCCCCACCCCTGGGTTTGCAGTTGAAGACGAAGCCCAGTCACGGACCAACAGTTCAAACATTGAGTGGTTTGCATCTAATAATAAGCCCCCCAAAAATCTGTCCTGGTACTTGAGGTCTGCACCTTGTTTGGGTTTCAGAATTTAGCCAGCCTTGCTCAGGACACATGGCAGGACAATGAAGCTGTTAAAGGTCTGCGAATGAGAGACTGAAACAGTCTCTCTGCTGCAAGGCAATGTGGATCTCTGTCCAAACGTCCCAGCGGGCTCCCATCTCTGGTGTCCAGCTGAATAGGAAGGAGCAAGCAGTAGGCCAATGCTCAGATCAAAGTGAACAGCAACTAAGTCCCCTGGGTGTGTCTCCACAGGTCCTTCATCATGCGATTGCCCCAAGGGCTGTGTGTACTCAGCAGAATATTTAGGCTTTGCCAGATGGGACCAGATTGGAAGGGGAAGCTCAGGCTGGGCAGAGAAAGGGATTCTCCTGCCCGCTACTCCCAGTCATGCATTACCACTAACCAGGCTTCATGTCCCCATGCTGCTGCCGTGGTTACCACAAAGCATCATTGGTCTCAAACTGGGTCCTTGAGAACTGTAATGAAGTAGACGCCCTCATTAAGTGGCTCCCAGTTCTTAGGGCCCTGCAAACCCGTGAATATCCGTGGGTATCCGCATCTGCTGATATGGATGCCAATATCCACAGCTCATCTTTGCGGATAGGGATGCAGATGCGAAATTGTATCTGCGCAGGGATTGACCAGTTAAGGGGCTGGTCCTGTCTATCAATCGACTGAGCAGCCAATAGGGAGTAGGTGCCATTTCAAACTCAATACCCACTGTAGTTCTGCCCTATGAGAAGAAGATATTACAACACCGGGCAAGTGGCAAACGCTGGGGTTTTAAATGACCTCCATTTATACTACGTGCTGGCCCCCGAAACTTGGAAGTTCCTGTTGGCCACGCCCCCTGAAACTTTTCTCATCTCCTTCAATTCCCCCTGACGGCCCACAAAATCCAGAAAACCTTGGGCCCATCGCCTCTCCTCACCCTCCGTCACTTGAACTGCCGTCCCGTGAATATTATAGTATCTTGGTAATAACTCTCAAGTAAGTAGATATTAATTAATGCTGAATTGGAAAGGAATTGCATATTCTGTGATCCCTGTGAGCAGTAGAGGAATTCATCCCAGTTAATGCTGTTACAAAGAAGGCCTGTTTTGTCAAATATTTACATGGTATTTTAATTAATCTTTACCTTGTGTTTGCCTTTCCTTAAAGGGTTTGTAAGATGACAAGGCACTCAGATTCTGACTCTGTATATTTTTATCTAGAAGGTTTATTTGGCATTGTTCATGTCCACAACTCAAATAAGTTTTGTTTTTTGTCATTTGAATCATTGCTCTCGGGTGGGGGTGGGATGAAAAGTTCAGTATGCAGATGCTCTGGGGAGAAAGGACAACCCCAGCCCTCACTGACTGCAGCAGGCTGGGGCCAGGTGAGAAGCACCTCTCCATGGCTGCTACACCTGCAGTTGGCACAGCTGGGGGAAGGTGCATGTGCCCTCGCTGGGTGGCAGACAGAAACACAGATATACAGGCACACAAGCAAATTCTCTGAAATATATAGTAGATAGTGCTCCGTTTTTCCACCTCTACTCTCTGCTGGCCCAGTGGGGTAATATCTGTCCCATCTCTGGCCCATTGCTGCCCCCCGTGGTCATTCTGCAGTGTAACTGTCCCTCCTATCATGTCCCTCCCTTGCCATTTTATGAGACACAATTGAATTCTAGGCACATCCCATTGTCCCGGCACAACCAAACCCTGATCTTGCTTTAAGTTATGATAAGAGAAAGCTGCACACTAAATTTGGTGGTCCTCGTGCTTATAATTTGCAAAGAGTTCTTGAACAGAGTCACAGACACATGGACAGCCAGACAGACTCACATTTTTAAAACACGTAGTAAGAAGATGATTTTACCATTTCATTATTGCAAGATTTAGAAAACATGTCGCCATTGTTTTTGCAAGACCAACTTGCTTATTCCCCCTACTGATTTCTCAATGCAAGTAGCTACAAATGCATTACCTGGAGTTGTGTTGACCTTCTTTGGAGATGCTGAGCTAAGAGAACCCGTTCCAGTCTCTGGTTTTCCAAGGAGGCCTCCTGTAAAGGCAGGGAAGACAAAACTTGATATTCCTGGTATTTCTGATGTGAAAGGCAAACAAAAAAAGGCGCCAACTCAGCAAGGTATTTAAGCACACGCCTTTCTTTAAGCGCATGAATAGAGGAATTATGG